CCAGTCATGTCATCTGGATATCCAACTCCAGGCTCCCAAAGCAAGTTTTATTCTCCCAGCTCAACCAAGACGTACAACTCAAGAGGAGGTCAGAGAAAGCATTTAAGAGATGTCCTCAAGACCCGCTTAAAAAAATGCAGCATCGATGTTAACCTGTGGAATACTATTGCCTAGACTGCAGCAAATGGAGGAAGAACCTGTTGCAGGGATCAGTACTTTGAAACCTCATGACAAAAGCAGGAGATGGAAAAGCAAGAGCAGCAGAAACTGCATGCTGTGGACCAAATCAAGAATCCAGCACCACCCGCCCTACATGGAAACATATGTCTGAGCTGAAGTAGAGTGTGTCAAGCTCAGAAAGGCCTCATCAGCCATCTCTGGACACACAGATAAGACAATCATCCTCAACTGCGAAGGGACTGCCAAAGAAGATATCTGCTACTGTGCTGTATGTTAGAGAAATGAGCGCACAGACCACTGCCAGTCGGCTACCGCCACTGCCACAGCGGTTGCCAAACCAACTGTATCAACAGCCTCAATGCAAGGGTGAACCATATAAGTGGAATCTAAGATGATTTTAATAGAGTAGGTAGGTACCCAATTTCCTTCTTCATCTCACTGCCTATAGTCTGGCATCTCCTCAGAAGGGAACTCACTGAGAACGATCCTGCGGAATCCTTGAGAGCAGAATTCTCCTCTAGGTCTGAGGTGATGTGCAACAATTATTTATACAAGTGAAATTGGAGCCTGAAGTTATTTAACTTAGAGTCCCAGAGAAAAAAAGGTTTGCATATTATATTATTATCAGGGATAAGACACTGTCCCAGACAGAAGCTACTAAATTAGCTAGCCTTACTGAAAACAGTCTGTTACAAGCGAAACTTGGTTTAAAACAATAAATGCTTGGCATGAAGCCCCTTGCTCAGTAACATCATAGCTGTCCTCCCCCTTGCCTGCTTCAAACATCCAAGTGAGAAGAATTTACAAACAGGAAAAGAAGGATTTCTTCATAAAATGTAACTACTCTGACGTAAATCTGTTTCTCAAGGAAGATTAGCAGGTCAGATTCTTAGCAGGTTTCATTTTGTGGACCTTGGTGTTAAGAAGAAACTGAGGGAGGGTCATGGCAATCTCAAACTGTATGCACTCAGAGTATAAAGAGCCTTGCAAGGGCACAGCAAAAGGAAGACGCTGCTATCGAAATGACCATATGCACTATATCCATTTGCACCTACAGTGGAATCCACACTGATATGCATAAAGAAAACAGATATTTGCAGAGAGACAGTCATAGTTCAGATCTACATTTCATGGTCTACAGCAAGGGTTTTTGGCCGCAGTGTTGAAAAAAACGCAATGTCTACCTTGTAAGGTCCTGGAGTGCCAGTATGCCAGAAATACAAAACCAAGGGCTGGCACTTTGTTTGTGGCTTTTCGAAATGCCCACCGGAGGAAGGGAGCAAGCTCCCCCCTCCCTTAGGAATTTACCTAGATCAGTCACCTAGGTGACCAGGCTGGACCAAGTAGTAGCATTTTGTAAGAGGGGGGGCTAGCTGAATTGACCCAAACAGAGACAGACAGAGGAGGATTTCTTCACAGGGGGGTACAAGGCAGGACACACTGCATATTAATATAGTTAAATAATCATATTTTTAATAGTAAATATCAGGTTTTCTAAAAATTCTAAACCTGGTGACAATAAATAAAACTTCGTATGCTACCTTCGTTGTTTTGTATTCTTTTTTTGTTAAGCATGGTGTGATGAAAGAAGAAGAAAAAGAGGGAAGGGGGGGAAGAGGGAAGAGAGAGAGGGGGAAAGGAAAGAAAAGAGGAAAGAGAGACGAGGGGGAAGAAAGGAAAAGAGAAAGAGGGGGGAAAGGAAAGAGAAGGAAGAAGCTATGAGAAGCTGCTGCCAGAACCTGGCTGCGCCCCGTCACCTCCCCACCCTCCAATGCAGGCACACAGGTGAGCAGTGCAAGTACCAGGCCCATGAGGCAGCAGCCACCACCACTACAGTTTGTGCCCTTCCCCTTCCCCGCAACAACGCAGGCAGACAGGTGGGTATAGAGGCAGTGCCAAGGGCTGGCTTGCTGCGTGGCATGGTGGTTGGGCTCAGGCCCCAACCCTGGCCAGCAGCGCAGCATAACCTGCTTGGGCCCCTGCCAGCAGCCTTAGCAGAAATTGGGGGCAGTGTGCCCCCTGCCACGAGTTACCCTGATTGGTGAGACTGGGGCTGACTAGCCTCTTCCCGATGGAACTGTACTGCAGGCAGGAGTGGGGCAGGCTCAGCCACACAGGACAGGTGATGCGGGGCCTGAGAAGAGGCAGCACTGGGAAGGATGGCTATGGGGGGGCTAGGGCATGTTTTGGGGTGGCTCTGGCTCCCCAAGTCCCCCCAGCACCTCCCCTAATTAGCTACCAAGGCAACAGAGAGAGCAGGCTATGCAGCAGCTACTTTAATCTTTAAGGTTCCCCTGTGTGCTCCCACACCGTTGATTGCCCTCACTCCTGTTCTGCAGGGAGGCAAAAACCTCAGTTTTATATATGGTGTTGTTTTTGCCGCTTGCTGCTGATTGGCCATGGGGCCCTTGCAGCCCTGCTGTTTGTTGCTGACCGGCAAAAACTGAAGTTTTCGCCTCCACGTGGATCAGAAGCAAGCAGTGGCGGGGAGGAGGGTTCACGGGGAACCTGCAAAATCGGCAGGAATGGGGTGCATGGCAGTTCCTTTGATTTGCAAGTTCCCTCATGTACCACCACAGACATGGGGGCGGGGTCAGCAGAACGCAAGCAGCATCCCTGAATCCCTACCTGTGTTCTTCTGACCTGGCCCCTGGTGTCTGCCATGGCGCTGGGAGCTCTCACTACTTTGTAGAGCCCGGAGCAGCAACTTAATTTTTTTTTTTTTTTTTTTTTACATTTTCCTTGGCACACCTTCCTGGCCTGCCAAGGGAAATGTTTCCGTGCGCTGCTAATTGGCACGTGTTGGGGGTTGCCTATCCCTGGTCTACAATAATTGTGAATTAAGAGTTTATTGCAGAAGATGGAAGATGCACTGAGAACAAGCCAGGATACTGCAGAGGAGAGGTGGAGGGGAGGGGAGTCTTCTATGGTTAAGACCAATGAATGCAACTCACTGCTATCTTTTTCTCTTTCTTTATGACACTTATCAAGTAGCTGAAGATCAACATTTTGTTAAGTCGCTACTAACGTATTCTTCACTTTCTGGCTGTCCAATCAGACACTTGACTTTATCTGCAGAAGTGCTAAGTGCTCATTATTTTCTATACAGTTGCAGTGGATTATCTTTAAGGGTCAGGACAGACAAACTTACTCTCCATTAGGTAAATGAGGACAAGGATTTGCAGAGCATTGCAATAGCTGTTCGCATTTGTGCTCTTATTTCAAGTGTATACACATAACACTTAAGTTGGTTTAAATATGATTTAGATGTACACATGACAAATGCACATGCCTGTTAAACTGGTTTAAATCTGCCTGAAATGGTTCAAGAGTGTACCCAGAAATATCAATTACTCTTTAAGCCAGTTTACTGTGAACAATTTCAACCTTACATGTACGTGTCAAACGTTCCACGATGCCAGTCTGGTCAGTCCTCCAAGCACCCCACAATGCACCAGTCCTCAGACACCTCCCTTCATAACCTGCTGTAACTGACTACTCTGGTTACAAAGCCAGAAGTATACTGCGCCCCTGCCTCCCCCACGCCCCAACACTTCTCCGCTTTTGTTGGCAATGAGCTCTCTTGCACTGCTTGGTCAATAAAAGCTATCTTTCTTACAACCAGCTGTGTCCTCACTCCCTACTCAACTGCAGCCCTTCATCATGCATCCTCCCCCAGCACCTGGGATCCCAAAAAAGTGGGTCCAACAGTCCTCACCTCCCAAACACTCAAAGTCAAGCAAGCATACTGCAGACTTTGGTCAGGTGCAGACTTTTGGTCCTCCAAAAATCAGGATTCTAAAAATGGAAAATTATAACAAATTTATAAATTCTGCATGTCTAGAATCTAATTACTGGGGGGTCATCTTAAATGCAAAGTTGTCTTGGATTCAGGTAAATACAGTATATGAGCTAAAACCAGAATAGTATATACAAATTATGTTTGTAGCAAACTGCAGTATAAAAATTGGCCACAAGTATTAATATCTGAAATAATATATGCAATTCCAGTGAGCATGGTTGAAGAAAGTAAGGCAGTGAAGTAAACAAAAATATAAAGCAGATTGCAACCAATAAGATTCAGAATTTTGGAAAGCGCAAAAAAGCAACCCAGAATTTTTCTAGTCCTTTATGATCTTTCCCTCTTCTCAGTTATAGTATGTGAAATTTGTTCACAAGCACTCAACTCCTATACCTGTACTTGCACATACTAGGACCCTTGCCAGAAGCTCCAAAAGCAATATAAAAGCAAGCAAGATGTGCTTGGATTTTAATCAGCTTTATTCCCTCTTCTGAAATTAGTCCAGAAACATGAATGAGAGAGAAATGACAATTAGAGTGGTTGATGAAAAATACACTTTGTCCTTCACAAATAACTCTTTCAGAAGGGAAGGGACAGGGGTCCCTATTGAGAAGCAAAACTAAATGAAATATTTTCATCAATGCAGTTTCATTTTCCTTAAAAAAACAAGATAAAGGTTTAATACTGAAATAAGATATCAGAAGTGGGCAAGAGAGCCACTAGGATAAATTAATTCATGAAGGAATCTGACCAGTTCCTGGAAGACTGCATCAACTCAGTGATTAGATAATTAAACTCAAATCTAAGTGATCTGGTCCAAATGTAACATTTTATTTAGATTTCTAAATAAGATCTCTCAATTTCAATGAGATGCTGAAAGAAGAACAAGACGATGACCCAAAGTGGCCCTCTATGCTTCATATCTATCAAGCAAATGGAGTGATTTCCATCATCTTTTTCTTTTTATTCTAGCTGCTAGAATGATCTTTAAAAATGAAGAGATAGGCAACATACTTACAAAATGAACGAGATGTAGTCCTTCTATTTGACATTTCCTGATTCACTTTTTCAGAGGCCAAAGAACCTCTTGTTTGAATATTTCTTTTTATCGGGCTCTGTTGTGGTTCTGGTGTCTTCTCTATTCCATGAAAATATTTAATGTGATAATGCAACAGCTTGGCTTTGCGGAATGATTTTGAACAGTCCAAGAACTTGCATCTAAACTTGTGATCTCGGTCAACAGTTGCAGTTTTTGGTGTAATAAAATCATCTGCTCTCTTAAAAGTTTTTGTTACTGTAAGAACAAAACAAACAAGTTTCCCCCATGCTTATGCTACATTTATAAAATGATTATCTGAATATAAAAATCGAAGTAATGGACATGCATCTACACATAAAACACATTAGGCATGAAACATGAATAAAACCTCTGCTTAAAAAAATATGAACAGCTTTGGTGGCTTTGGGCAACTCATCTTGCAGTTATGTTACAGGGTTGATTGTACAGTTTTAGGAATAAGTTAGACAAGGACTTGTATTGGGTTGGTTTGAATACAGATTATCCTGCCTCAAGCAGGGAGATAGACTAGATGACCAACAGAGGTCCCTTCCACCTCTTCTGCTTTTCTAATTCAGTTTCCTAATTCAGTTCAGTACATACAACTATAACAACAACTCACCTTACCCTTTTGAAACTGCTCCAAGTGTACATTTCTCCATGCTTCTAGACAACTGTTAGTCTAACTTGCTTTTAGAAACTTCCAAGGATAGAAATTCCACCACCTCTCTAGGTAACTTGCTCCCAATGCTTAACTACCCTCAGAGTGAAAAAAAGTTATTTCTAATGTCCAACCTAAATTTCTCTTGTAGCAATTAAGGAGTTTATAAGGAGAAAGAAAAACAACCAGCCAATACCACCAGAAAGGCTGATTTATTAAGAGATAGTAAGATCTTACATATACACAGGAAGCTGACTAACAGAAGTTACCCACATTATTTCCTGAATACAAAAACTGAGGGTAAAAAAGAATCACAAAGCAGTTACTAATTAGGAAAAAAGAAAAGAAAAAGCTTCCCTCCCTAATCCACTCCAAAATTAAACCCATCAGGAAGAACTTCCTAACAAGGTAGAAACTTTAGCTCCTGATAATTCCAACCAACCTAGACAACAAGACCATGTTAGCGGATCATGTTAATCTGCTGCAACCAAAACCTAAAATGTTGTTACTACCAGAAATTGTGCTCATAAAAAATTAAACAGATTAAGAATTGGCCAGTGAAATTCAATTGGGCAGAAATAGGAAAATGGGAAAACATTACTTAACTTCAGTTAAGCCTGCCAGTTAAGGAAAACTATGATGCCATTTTATAATGGTCAGTGAAAGGCCTCGTCAGGAATTCAGTATCCAACTCAAACACCTTTCTTCCAAATTCAAATTAAGATGATACAGAAAACACATCTCTAACCTGATCTGACAGACTCAAGTTTGGAGAAAGGGAGGACAGAGGATCAAATAAACCAAAACTTACACAAGAGAGGGGAAGGGAAGAGAAGGAAAAATTAACCACAGTGTACAAAAAGAAATCTAATTCAGACTACTCTCTCTCTCTCTCTATATATATATATATGTATATGTATATGTATTAGTCTGTCTGTCTGTAACACTTTATTCACACTCTGTCCTGTGCTTTGTCAAACATACTCAGCAATAAGTTGCCACATTGTTACAAGCAGTTTCTTTATATTCCAGAAAAACACAAAACAAGCTACCATTCCATAAAAATGCAATAGCCCATGCTGTGATATAACATATAGTTACCTCACAAATACAGCTGCATTTTAATACAACCAGTGTATTCTTAAACCATGATTACAGCCCCCCTGACCTGGCACACCCCGCGGCTGCTCTAGACTCACCCGTCCGAGCTAAGCAGCAGTGACGGTGGCCTGGCAGAAACTGTTGCCCAGCAGTGGCGAGGGGGATGGGCCACTTTCCCCCCATGCTAAGCAACAGTTTCTGCCCGGCCGCTACCACTGCTGCTCATCCCAGACGGGTGAGCCTGGAGCAGCCATGGAATCTGTGCTGGTACCACAGGGCTGGGGTGGTGGCAGCTGGAAGGAACCACCACCACTTAGGTTGTCTAGAAAGGCAGTACAGCCACAGAACTGCCCCCACCCTGCTGTATGCCCAGGGGGCAGCAGAACATGCCATGACTAAGCAGTGAGGAGCAGGCTTGGGGTGGGCTGGGGCTACGTGCTGTTGGCAGTGGCAGGGTGGTGCCGCAAGGTGCGTGGGTTACAGGCTGTTGCGGGCAGTGGCAGGTGTTGACCAGCTCAGAGGGGCATGTACAGGGGACTCCCATGCACACCCCACCATACCCTCAAATCCTCCCCCACAAACAATCACACACCCCACAAACACTGCACACATCCACACTTTCCCTCATACCCCCACAAACCCCACACACGCACACCCATGCACCTCTGAGTGGAGCCCTGCTCACTGCTACGTGCACACACCCCACCACACATGCACCTCACCCCACAGCCCCCGACAAATCCCATACACACCCACATCCCTGAAAACCCTCATACCTACCCACCTACATCCACACCCCACATCCACAGGACCCCACAAACCCCACCCACCCATACCCCCAACACCCCTCCACACCTCCCACAATATACAAGAGTAAGATTGCATTTTGAGCCATTATGCAATCACCTCCATATACAATGCAAACAAACCAGGACAAAAATATTTTTTTTAATAAAATTAAAATATGTTATTGTGGCTGTTTGATTTTTAGTATGTAATTTGGGGGGATTCCCAGTTCCCAGTTCCAAAATGGCAAACCCCCTTCCCAAAAGGAGTAATTCTGGTGGCAAAGGTCAGGGGTTAGGGGGCAGGACTTCTAGTCTCAAGATGGCAACCAGGAGACAAGGCGCTTATCAAGGGGCAGGGCCATCTTTGTGGCCCTCAACAGCTCACCAAAAATCGTTAAGCAGTCCTTCAGCTGAAATAACTGTCTGCCCCTGCACTAAAGCTTGTTTCTATGTACACAGAAACATTCTAACATTATAAAAGCCGAAGTCTGTCTGTCCATAACGCTTTATTCGCACTCTGGCTGGCTGATGGAAACAGCCAAACAGAGTGCTCCAAGCATGGGGGAGCGCCGCCATGATTCTGAAGCTGCACTGAGGACTGGACAGAGGGTGCTCCCCACCCTGCTCCCTGCAAGAGGCAGAACAGCGGCAGCATGGGGCATTAGGTGGCAGCACTCCATCCCAGCCCTCCCACCCCCCGTCTTTCTTGACAGGCAATTGGTTAGTTATACTTGCCAATGGGTTATATGCCATCACTAGATTTCCTTGCTATAAGGCAAGAGCGTGCAAAGTCTGGCCCACAGGCCAGATCTGGCCAGCAGTGGACTCCATTTCCCAGCAGCCCCAGCCACATGGCTGGGATGGGTCTCCATGGAGACCCCAGCCCCAGCTGTGCTGTGACAGCACAAGGCTGGGGTTGCCGTGGAGACCGGCTCCAGCTGTACTGGCAAGGCAGGGCAGGACAGGGGACTGCTCTGTAGCTGTTGGGATCTGGCAGCAGGAGCAGCTTGGTCGGGGCCATGGCAGAGCTGCGATTTGCAGCCTGCACGCTCAGGGCAGGGGCGCACAGGCAATGAATAGCAGCTCTGCCCCAGCTCCTTGCAGTGGTGACAGCTTGGTCCAGACCAGGGGCACAGACATTATCTGCTGCCTGTGTGCCCCTACCTGGACCATACAGGCTACAGATTGCGGTTCTGCCCTGGTTCCTTGCAGCAGCAACAACATCGTCCCGAGCCAGAGCAGAGCTGTGATCTGCTGCATGCAAGCTACAGATCACGACTCTGCCCTGGCCCTGACCAAGGTGCTCCCGCCGCAAGATCCCAGTGGCTCTAGAGCAGCCCTGCCCTGTTGCACACCCTGCCAGCATGGGTGGGGCTCGTCTCCATGGCAACCCAAGCCTTGTACTATCACTGTGCAGCTGTGGCTGAGGTCTCCATAGAGACTGCCCCAGCCATGTGGGCAGAGGCTGCTGGGAAATGGAGCCCAGCTACCAGCCCGATCCACCATTTTGCCTACCCCTGCTGTAAGGGAAGAGATAAGGGACAATCCTAATCATATCACAAAGGGCAACAGTTATACAAGGCAGTAATAGGACCTACTTTCACGATGGTTCAACTGCCCAACAGCACAATACCCTATTGTGTTCTTTAGTAAGCAATTAGTGGAGCTTTCATCCAATACTTAAGATATGCCTCCCAGACCTCAAACCTCAGAAATTCCAATTTCAAACCTCAGAAATACCATCTCTGGATTTCAAATTTCAAGTAAATTGCCTGCTCTCCACAAGACCATTATTAGCATCTGACAAAGGCTGTTTCCTATGAAAGTGCACACTTCTTTGAATGAGTTAGTCCAGGACTGCTCCATCCCTGGCCCACAGTGTCCCCCAAGGATCTGGAAATTTGGCAGTGGGGAATTGGTGGCAATTAATGTTGCCATTGCTTCCTGTGGCCAAATTTTGAAACCACCTGGGGCCAGATTGTATGGCCCTGTGCATGGGCTCAAGACTGTTGCCAAGCCAGCGGGCCCAACCTGGTGTATGCAGGGTTAGGGCTGGGGTGGCAGCCCTGCTCCAGCATGTGCAAGGTCAGGGCCATGGATACAATATAGTGTGTGGGACTGGGGCCCAATCCAGCATGTGATAGATCCAGCGCACAGACCAACCCCACACCACTCATCTGGCCCATGGAGCCAAAAGGCTCACTAAGGCATCACTAAGTTAGTCTATATGGTGCCTCCCTCCCCTGCCATATGTCTAACTTCACACGAACACAGCTAACTACCTCTCACTACTAATAGAGAAGATACCTAGACAAAGATCACATATAAGTACATTTTTAAATGGTGGAATGAGATAAGACCATCTGTTTATTCTATACTACAAAAACAAGCATTCTTCATATTGCTGTAGGTGCTTAGAATACCACCAACAGTTTTATAAAAAAATATAATTCTTCCTCTTACCTGCCAAGATCCAAACTCAAAATATTCAGCTGTTGTGAAATATTGTATTCATAAGCCTTTAAAATGTTCATGTGGGATCCAAAACATTATTTTAAAAAGCTTTTCATGTTAAAATTAGTAACTCATCCAGCTGCTTTAACAGCTACATCCATTATTTTTTTATAAGTTTGACTAGATAAAAAATTATAGGAAGTACTAAAAACATTATAATCTAAAGATGTGAT